AGTGATCACAATGTTTTTTTTTTTGGTCTGACATTTGTTGAATCGCATCAACAACAACAACAAAATTAAATTTGTATAGCGTCTTTCATGTCATTGGCCATTCATTGTTTCGGACCCAAGCTGGGGGTCGGGATCGGGGAGGGTGGAGGGCAGAGGTGGAAGGAGGGTGATCAAAGGCACGGTCGAAGAGGAGGGTCTTGAGATGGGTCTTGAAGAAGGCAAGGGAGGGAGGGAGCGAGGCGGAGGGACTGCAGGATGGAGTTCCAGAGGGAGAGGGGTGGGAGAGGCGGGGGACCTGAAGTAGGTCGGAGCCAGCTGAACGGAGGGAGCGGTCAGGTTGGTGGGGGGTTAGAAGGTTGCAGAGGTAATCCTCTTCCTAATCTATATGCTCCCTCTTGGGGATGTCATCTGCAGACATGGGGTACATTTCCACATGTATGCGGATGACACCCAACTCTATTTTTCCACCTAACTTTGCGAGCCCCAGTCCCCGATGTTCTGTCAGTCTGCCTCTCAGACATCAAGAGCTGGGTGAGCGTGAATTTCCTTCAGCTAAATGTTGACAAGACAGAAGCCATACTCTTTGGCTCTCGTCAATGTCTAAAATCGCATAGTTCTTACCTCCTCCACCTAACCAACCTCCCGCTAAAACTCTCCGAACTCATACACAACCTAGGCATCAGGTTCGACCCTCAATTATCCTTCCTCCCCCACATCCGGTACCTCACCAGCACTGTTTTCTTCCACCTGTGATGCATCGCCCGTCTCCGCCAATACATCACTCCAAAAGCCGCCGAAACCCTGGCCTATGCCTTTGTCACATCTCTGCTGGACTATTCAAATGCCCTCACCGGTCTCCCTCCACTATCATTCATAAAATCCAGGTCATCCAGAACTATGCCGACCGCATTCTTACCCGCACCAAATCCGCTCCCCAATTACCCCAGTCCTTGCCAGACTGCACTGGCTGCCTGTCCCGGAGAGGATCGACTTCAAGATACTCACTCTTGTATTCAAATCCCTCCACTCCTCTGCACCCCCTACTTCTCTGACCTCCTCACACCTCACAATAGTGCCTGTTGCCTTCGCTCCACCTGGTCTGGCCTCCTCCTTGTCCCCCAAAACCTCCGCTCCGCCATCGGCGGCCCTGCCTTCAGCCACTACGTCCCAAGGCTCTGGAATTCCCTTCCTCCCTCCGTTCGCCTCGTCCCCTCTCTTCCTATTTTCAGGTCTCGGCCAAAGACCTTTCTTTTTGACCGCGCCTTTGGCCACCTTCCTCCCCCTCCCCCTGACTTGGCCCCGGGATCATTACTGTGAAGCGCTCTGAGATGCCGTCCGGTGTGGAGGGCACTATATAAATCCAAGTTGTTGTTGTTGTTGAGGTAGGGGGGAGCAAGGCCATGGAAGGCTTTGAAAGTGAGGACCAGGGTCTTGAACTGTATCCTCTGTGTGATGGGAAACCAATGGAGTCGGGCGAGGATGGGGGTGATAGGATCACGGAGCCTGGTGCGAGAGAGGACATGGGCTGTAGAGTTCTGGATGATCTGCAGCCTACGGAGGCCAACAAGCAATGAGTTCGCATAGTCGAGCATGGATGTATGAGGGTTTTGGCGGCCTGTGATGTGAGACAGTGGCGGAGCCGGGTGATGTTGCGGAGGTGGGAGAAGGCAGAGCGGGTCATGGCACTGATCTGGGGTAGAAAGGATAGTTGAGGGTCCAACAAGATGCCATAGTTCCGAACTGGCTTAGTAAGGTGGAGCATACAAAATAAGAAATTATATTTTTTAAAGAATACAAAGAAGGCAAAGATCTATATTAAATGTGATGACATGAATGTAGTTTGCATTACATATAGTGTATGATGTTACAGTCTACCAATATTAATCATATGGTCGAGCATTCACAACAACAAGATTCCATTTATAGAGCGCCTTTCACGTCTATAAGACACTGGACAGTTGGGTCAGGACCCGAGCATTGGGGGGGGAAATGGTCAGGGTGAGGGGAGGGAAATGAGGGTGCGAGGAGGGGGTAGAGAGTCGAGAGGGGAGCTGAAGGCACGGTCAAAGAGAAAGGTCTTGAGACCGGCCTTGAAGGAGGAAAGGGAGGAAGCAAGGCGAAGGCACTGGGGTTTGGAGTTCTAGAGCCTCGGGGCTGAGAGGCTGAAGGCCCGGCCACCTGTCGACAGTAGGGCGGTTGGGGCGGGGGATGTGGAGCAGACCGGAGTCAGAGGAACGGAGGGTACGGGTAGGTAGGTAGGGGGATAGTAGGTCAGAGAGGTAGGAGGGAGCAAGGCCGTGAATGGCCTTGTAGGTGAGGATGAGGATCTTGAATTCGATCCTCTGGGGGATGGGGAGCCAGTGGAGGCGAGCGAGGGTGGGAGTGATGTGGTCGCGAAGCAACACTAGCCACTGTGTAGAGGGCTCAGTGTTGGAGGGAAAATGTATGTTAGAAGCTAATTTTCTCCATAACCCAGCAACAAGTAATTCAAATCTTGAGACTGTTTTTAAATAAAGATGAGCTCCTCTTTAATGACACTGCTCTGAACTTTATAAATTGCAAAAGGCATATCTATATAACACTCAAGTGGTCCGCAGAACAGCAAACCTAAAAATAACATTTTTGACACTTACAATGGGGTCCAAAATATAATGTTCACAAGTGGAGTTTTTGTGTTACTTGCAGCTTCCAGCAGATGAATTTTGTGTTGTGAGGTTTATAAATCTGCAAATTGTGAATCCCAAGTCAGTTAATTTGGTGAAAATAGCTGGTATGTAAAAAACCAGCAGAAAACACAATCAAAAATTATAGGACACAACTGTTAAGTTACTGTTTGTTAAAGATTGGCTACTTCTGAATTCTTTGAGAGAAGACTCTGAATTTGCACAGCAACAATTAATGCAGCACTAGAATCTGTTCTCAGTAAATGGGAGACTGGTCCTGTCTGTTCTTCCTTCCTGTTTCTTTTTACTCTGGTTTCTACAGTATATTTCACTCTTTCTTTGCTTTTCTCACTTACTGTCCTTTTAATAATAGCACCTTATCACATCTTCTTATTTCTTTCCAGTTCTTCCCAGTCAATATGGTTTGCTCTGTTTCTTGCTTCATCGTTGCAGCCTCTTGTTTATTTGTTGGTAGGCTGATATTCCAGTGTAACGCTGGTGGAGGAGTGCTGTGTTGTTGGAGGTACTGACTTTAGGATGGGATGTTAAACTAAGGTCCTGTTCAGGGGGATGTTAAAGATCCCATGACACTATTCAAAAGGATAAAGGAGTTTGTCCTGGCCATCAATCATCCAGGTAAAATTGGTCATTCGGTTCATGGCGGTTTATGGAACATTGCTCTATGCAAATTGGCTACCTCGTTTCCTTACTAATACACAGTCACTGCACTTTACAGAAATTCCCATTGAAGCATTTTAATACTTTTCAATGTTGTAGGCACTATATCAAGTGTGAAGATTATTATTACAGTATAAAGTCCTTTGGGCTATTTGCCTTGCTCCCTCTCTTCATCTCACTGTTCAGTTTTATTTCATCTTTCACCCATCTTTTAAATTTAAAACATTCTCTGAGATGGTTGGCAATGTATGTGAAAATCATATTTCTTTTTACTATTGTTAGATTGTGTATTGTATTGAAAAATATTGATGACAGCTTTAAAACTGATGACAAGCTTCTTTTCAAATAAGCAGAGCAACAAGAGAAACAAAACCAGATACGCTCATGGTGAGGGAGGGAGACTGGGGAGAAGTATTGCTTTCCTGACTGTAGGAATTGAAAAGGGTGCAAAGGAAATTTACCAGAATTATACCAGGTATGAGGGACTTCAATTATGTGGACAGACTAAAGAGGCTGGGATTGTTCTCCTTAGAGCAGAGAAGGTTAAGGGGAGATTTGATAGAGGTTTTCAAAATTATGAAGGGTTTTGGTAGAGTAAATAAGGAAAAACTGGCGAGTGGGACGGTAACCAGAGGGCATACATCTAGGATGATTGGCAAAGGAACCAGAGGGTAGACAAGGAGACTTTTTTTTATGCAGAGAGTTGTTACAGTCTGGAATGCACTGCCTGAAGTAGATTCGATAGTACCTTTCAAAAGGGAATTGGATACGTACTTGAAAAGGAAAAAAATGCAGGGCTATGAGTTAAGAGCAGGGGAGTGGGACTAGTTGGTAGCTCTTTCAAAGAGACAGGACAGACATGATGGGCTGAATGGCCTCCTTCTGTGCTTAAGATTACGATTTCCCCAACAGATATGGGAACTTGAATGCTGCATCTACATTTGTTACTTAGGAATTCCACTCCGTGAAGGACAACACTTCATGAATTAAAGTGTTTTGACAAGCTGTCTCGTGTATTTGCAGACAGTGAAATGTCCATTAACAGAGATGCAGAAGGAAGGGCTTTTTGCAGTGGTTATTGACCATCCACTGATGGTTTCTGGTCAGTGTTAACCTTTAACAACAAAGTTACTCAAATGATAGCCTACACTTTGAGATTACTTGACTATGACTTGAAAGAAATTGAGCAAACTTTGTACAGGTCACTGGGCAGATCAATTTGAAATACTGTGAGCCATTTGGGGCACTTTACCTTTCAAAAGGACAATGAGGCTTTGAAGAGGGTCCTGAAAAGAGCAACATTTTTATTTTATATTTGTAGCCAAGGTGAATTGGTGAATGAAGCTATCTCAATTGTCTTCAAGTGGATAACATTTTTTCTCAGTATGTCAGGCAAAAACAAGCTTACAACAATAACATTGGCAAGCTATACAGTATTAGCTAGTTAGACTCCAGCAGTACCCGAATGCACACTCTGGGGGGGTCCCCAAGCCTTGGGTCTTGTTAACCTGTGCCTAGTACTTTCTGGAATTAGGTAATCAGGATGTGTCCCTCCAGGGAGAGAGAGCGCATTCCATTCCAACAATCTATCTCTGGAATTTCCATGTGTGGGTGGGATGCATGGAAATCTCAGTTTGGTTTTGATACTCTTAAGCATGGGGATGGGTTTCCGCATGTGTCTGACACCCAGCTGACCAAAAAAAGGCAATTTGAGCCCTGCTTTATTTTTACTGCAGGAGGACTAATTGGGTCACATCTCACTGTGGAATGCCAGACCACACTGTCCGTAGGTCTTGTCTTCTCGCTTTATTAAGCCTAACCAGCCAAGAGTTGAACAGCAATTATTTTTGAATGGTTCATCCCCCAACAAAATGGTTATTTGATAAATTTGGAATTTCTTTGTTTAAGCAAGGAAAAATAATAAATAGCATTTCACTGTAGTAATCTACTTTGAATATGAACGCTTTGGACCATGACAAGTTAAAATCTGAAGTCTATAGGGTAATAAGTGTATGCGTGCGTGTGTGCAATGAATGCCTAATATATATGCATTCAGACATGGCGATAATGTCTTTGTTAAATACAATTTCATGTCCAGTTATTCAGAAAGTATAATGAGGCTGATCACAGTCAGCAGAAGGTAGTATTCTGATAGATAAAGCTGCAAAAATTATAAAATGGGAATGAGAAAAAAGAATTCAAATTGGGGTGAGTATCCATGAGATTACTGTTGGGCACTCTACTCCTTCGAAATGGTGTAGTGGAAGTCACGCAACCTGTGCTCCACTGTAACAAATCCTGGGCGGTCAGCAGCGCTGCAGAGTAAAAAAGAGAGAGCACTTTGGATAGACATTGCAACAAAGTGATGAACTAATGCAACAGCTGGATTCACAGAATCATGAATAACAAAAATAATAATCCACAACTATTTGTGTGACACTGGTGTGCGCATTTGGCTGCCGCGCTTCGCCCACAAAATATAAAGTCAATTCACTTTACAGTATATTCTGTGAAGGGCTTTGAGACGTCTCAAAGACATGATAAGGCACTATATCAAATGCAAGGATATTATCATCATTATTATATTATATGTGGAACTCACAATTCCCAGCAAAAGCAGCAGGATATTTGTTCATAGAATCATAGAATTATACAGCACCGAAGGAGGCCATTTGGCCCATCGTGTCTGTGCCGGCTCTTTGAAAAGTGCTATCCAATTCAATCCCACTCCCCCGCTCTCTCTCCATAGCCCTGCAAACTTGTCCTCCCCAAATAATTATCTACTTCTATCTTAAAAGTTGTTATCGAATCGGCTTCCACCACCCTTTCAGGCAATGCATTCCAGATGTGAACAACTCACTGTGTGAAAAAAATTCTCTTCACCTCCCCTCCGTTTCTTTTAACGACTATTTTAAATGGAGCCCTCGGGTTACCGACCAACCCGCCAGTGAAAATAGTGGAAATAGCTTCTCCTTGTTCACCTTATCGAATCCCCTTATAATTTTGAAAACTTCTATTCAGTCTTCTCTTAACCTTCTCTGCTCCAAGGAGAATAATCCTCGCTTCTCTAACCTCTCCTGATAACTGAAGTCCCTCATTCCTAGTACCATCCTAGTAAATCTCCCTTGCACCCTCTCCAATGCTTTGACATCCTTCCTAATGTGTGGTTTTGATTAACTCCTCAAGAAGCATTTGAGGCATCAAATATCATCTTAATGCCACCATTGTCTTAAAATTGTACAGTGGAGTCCTGTAGCTCAGTGGTTAGAGCACTCGCTTTGCAAGCGAGAGACCTGAGTTCAATTCCAGGCAGCCCGAAACCTAGGGCAAGTTTCCTTACTCCACACGCCTAATAATAATCCCTCCAAAACCAAAAACAATAATAAATTGGTCATTTTCAATCTACGACTGTTCGTGGGACATTACTGTGCGCAATTGGCTGCCACGTTTGCCCACAAATATACAGTCAATTCACTTTACAGTATATTCTGTGAAGCGCTTTGGGACGTCCTCCCGACATGAAAAGCGCTATATCAAATGCAATGATTATTATTATATTATTATTATTATTATTACATGTAGCAGAATTTTGGAGAATGCTTAAATTCAGTCTAAATTTTGAAACTGGTTATCTGCAATTCTTAAAAGAGGATATGAAGTTTCACAGTGAGGAAATAGGCAAAAAGAGGTTTTGCAAACAAAATTTGAATTAGCCTTGGAGTAGAGTCCTGTAGCTCAGTGGTTAGAGCACTCGCATTGCAAGCGAGACAACTGGGTTCAATTCCAGGCAGAGGGCGAAACCTTGGGCAAGTTTCCTTACTCCACACGCCTAATAATAATCCCTCCAAAACAAAACAATAATAAATTGGTCATTTTCAATCCACAACTGTTTGTGGGACACTGCTGTGCGCAATTGACTGCCGTGTTTCGCCCACAAATATACAGTCAATTCACTTTACAGCATATTCTGTGAAGCGCTTTGAGACGTCTAGAAATGTGAAAAGCGCTATATCAAATGCAAGATAATTATACTATTATAGAGATTCTTCCCTATATACATCACAATATATATATATATGGCGGATGGCTTTCCGGGGGTAATTATCCCTCAAGAATAAATAAACAAATAAATAATTTCGCCACTCAATCCACAACTGTTTGTGGGACGCTGCTATGCGCAATTGGCTGCCACATTTCGCCCACAAAATATACAATCAAATCCACTTTACACTATATTCTGTGAAGCGCTTGAGATGTCTCAATGGTGGGATGAGGTGGACTATTAAATTAAGGATTATTATATATATATATACATATAACCCTGAAGTGAATGGAAGGCTGCAGACTTACTTTAATGTCCAACAGTCTTTCATCAGCTCATACATTTCTGGTGGACATCTGGCTGGAGATTCCAGTCTCTCATTGTTTTCAAGCATTGGTAAAACTTCTTGGATTTTCTTTCCCTGCAGACAAATTAAAAGCATCCAGAAACTTATAGTATTTCACACACAAATATATTGAACTAATAAACAGCAGGTTATTTAACCCATAGCAGCAAAGTAAATTTTGGAACCCAAAATATCTTATGTTCATAGGCTTAAGGCTGTTATCTTACTATTTATGATGATGTGGAACTTTGCAAAACAGTCCAATTCAGCCTTAATTTGATAGCTGGTTTTCTGCATTACCAAACAAGAACTGTGAAAAATCAGTTTCTAAGTTAAGAATAAATTTATGTTGTTTGCAAAATTCCTCACAATGGTAAACATGAGGGATTTAGGGCTTCCCTTGGCTTGGTATCAATGCCCCACCATGAAAAGGCCAATATTTCCCAAGGTTTTCCTGATTCTCATCATGGTAGCCTCCTCTGGGTTTCTTCTGTTCTTGTTTGACCTGCTTGAAATTCTTCACACAAAAGCAATGTTGAACTTCTTTGGACTTCTACATATTCAAAACACTTGAGGTATTTTAGATAAACTTCATTTTCAGTAAACAAGATTTAATTGAACTAGCAAATAGTTTTCAGTAAACAAGATTTCACTAAACTAGCACATTTGAAGCTAAGTCATTTAGAGCATTTCAAAAGAGAATTAGATAGACCCTTGAAGAATAAAGATAACAACAAAAGGGTAGAAGGAAAGAGCAGGAAAATGGAATTAGAATAGGTAGCTTTAGTCAGGGTCATTAAGTTGCCATCACTATCACCTCCATCTTTGCTATGCATTCACAACTGTGCAGACTTCAGAATGCAGAAGAGCACACGACACTGCCAATGTTGTAGATTATTTAGTATTAGAGTAAAAGGAAACTCACTTTGTATGGCTTTTGACCAAAGGTAAATGCCTCCCACATCATGACCCCGAAGCTCCAGACATCGCTCTTACTGGAAAACTTGCTGAAATTGATAGATTCGGGTGCGTACCACTTGAGCGGCCATTTACCTGTAGTTTTAGCCTACGGTTAGTTTGGAAGGAAAGAATTAAGTTGTCAATTTTAGTAGATATTTTGTAAACAAAATAAAATAATGGGGTCCAACATGCTGGTTATGAAAACGAGGGAATTATACTTGTCCTTGATGTAATGAACAATTTTTGTAAAGGCTTATAGAATCTGTGTTTTATCGGTTGTTATTTCCAGGGCATCTGTAATTCCCACAATACACATGCAGTACAAGAGCATTGAGTTTGAATCTCACAATATGAGGCATCAATATTGATACTTCTCCAAATCTGAAGAGGGTTTGTTTAACACTTACTTTGTAGTAATTCTCTTCTGCGTTTATAGCCTTTGATAGACCAAAGTCACTGATTTTGGCATAATGCTGAGTTACCAGGAGCACATTTCGTGCAGCCAAATCTCTGTGAACATAATTCTTCTCTTCAAGATACCTCATACCCATGGAGACCTGATGGACCAATTCCACTACATTGGTGATGGTAATAACATCCCTGAAAATGCAACAATATATACTTTTATTTTAAAAGTTGTTTGAAGAGAAACATGTCATAACAAACTACAATATTGTCACTGATTAGTAAATTGGTTTTAACCACTCAACGCATCGCAATATGCAAATCCTAACGGCCGGTTTTCATACTCTTATGATGTCCAGGTTTGACATTGCCAATCCCCCATGTGCCGGACTCCCCAGCTCTTCCCTACACAAGTTGCAGACCATCCAGACCAGGGCAGCCCATGTTCTCTCCTACTCCAATCTCCACAAACCTATCACCCCCATCTTTGCTTCACTCCCTATCCTCATAGGTTGCCATTGATACCCTGATGTGAAAAGCAATGTATATCTGTATATTGTATTCCATATTCATGGAACCTGCTGTTTTATATTAGACGTTCAGGTGACCAAAGCTTCAGTCCCTCCAAATTTGCTGAAACAATGATCTCAAGAATCAAGTTTGGTGAACAAATTTGACTGATTTATAATCCTAATGACCATTTCTCTGATAACACTCTTGAGGTGCAGTGTCGAGCCATCCTGCAACAATTGGAACTCTTATTGGGAGAGTGAAAAAATGAACCAACAGATTTTAGAAATGCAGTGGTTGGATTTGCATTTTTCCTTAGTGAGATATTAAAGAATCTCACATCCAATTTGCATACATGCAGATTATTTCTGGTAACGGGAAATGTGTCATATTGTCCCATGACAAATATATTTCATCTATCTCCATCTATCTCCAAGGCAAATTTTCCATGGATCAAAGGCAATTCCAACAGGATGCCTTATTAAGGAATCTCATTAAGAAGTATTGCAAGTTATACCCAATTCTCATTCCTGCCGACAGCAATTTCTATTTTTAAATAGGTCAAGTTCTAAAAAAAATTTAATTCCTCTATCCTTAGGCCCTGAAGTTATTGATGTACATGTAAGTCACTTGAACGCTTTCAAATAAGCAAAAATAAAATAAACTATTTGGGCAATGTGTTACGTGTGAAATGACATGACTTCTAAATTAAGACCAAAGTAAGAATTTTCCTAACAATTTTAAATGTTAAGATAAATGTCTTAAGGCAAAGGCCATGAGAATTCTTGGGCCTCAGAAGCAAAGAAATAGAATACAACAACAGCTTGCATTTATATAACACCCTTCACATCTTGGGAGTGCTTTACAGTGGGCTGGAGGAGTGGGGTTGGGGTGGGGGGGAAGGGCTGGTGGACACTCAACTAGGAGAAAGGGAGGGGAAAGGTTGGTTTTAAGGTGGGATATGAAGATGGAGGGGGTAAGGCTGAGGGATAGAGGCAGAGAGTTCCAGAGGTTGGGAGTGTAATGAGTGAATGGCTCAAAATAGACTTACTTGTGAGCTTGTAGAAATTTGTTGAGTTGACCTTGTTCTGCAAGTTCCATGACCAGCATCAAGCATTCCCGTTCACAAATGCCAATCATACGGACAATGTAAGGATTATCAAGCTGATGCATGAAGTGCGCCTCCTTCATTAGCTCATCTTTTACTGCAGGGTCATTGCTTTTCAGCACCTTCACTGCAACACTAATGTCTTTCCTGTCCAAACAGATGCAGATTGTAACAGTTGCAAAAGTATTATAAAAATATATATGAAATAAGAGGGCGATAAAGCAGGACAATACTTTCAAGCATGTTCCAGCAGCAAGACAAGAGGGCACATGTTAATGGATGTCAATCCAATTTTAGGACAGGCACCAGGAAGTATTTCCTTACACTCAGCATGATTAACAAATCAATTGGGTTAATTGAAGTAATAATTTGTTGCTATAATTGGAGGATAGTAGTAAGGGAAATTAATTTTTTTTTGGATTAAACTCATAGGTTCAAGGTAGAAGAATTCCATGTTGCAAAATATACTTAAGAAATACAACCACATTTTCCTGTAAATGTTGTGATTCTTTTGGAGAGGCAAGGAATTTGTCAAACCTTTAGAGTGAAATTGTGAACTGCCCTAAACATTTCCCTTTGCCTTTTGTGTCCAATTTATTGTATCTAAGGTTTACTCATGCTTACTTTCTCATTTTATAGATGCCTTTCTTTACAGTGCCAAAGTTCCCAGATCCCAGTTCCTTTTCTTCCAAAATAAGAGAATCCTGTTTCAAATACAGGGTCTTTTCTTTCAGTTCCTCAGGGTCAGCATACGGACTTTCATAGACATTTGAATCCATAGGCATATCCCTCCGAGCACCTGCAATACAACCAAGTTTGTTTGTAAGTTAATTCAGATAATAGTTTCAGAGTGACTCAATTAGAAGCAACCTAGCTTCTGGCTCAGAAGGTTTTGAGTTTAAGCACTAGCTAAGATTTGAGATCATAGCCTAGACTGAGACTTGTGGATGTCCTGCACTGTTGAAGGTGTTGTCTTTTTTCAATCTGGGCATGTAACACGTGCGGAAACCCACTGTATGCTTAAGAGTATCCAAACCAAGCTGGGAATTCCATGCATCCCACCAACACTTGGAAATTCCAGAGATAGATTGTTGAAATGGAATGCACACTCTCTCCCTGGAGGAACACATCCTGCTTACTTAATTCCGGAAAGCATTAGGCGCAGGTTGGCAAGAGCCAAGACTTGGGGACCATGGAGTGTGCATTGGGGTCCTGTTGGAGTCTAACTGGACAAAACCCCATAGCTTACCATTGATATTGCTGCCTGGTAAGCTTTCATACTGCTTGTCCAGCTAGGACCATCCTACCTATTAGGGCTTTGGCTTGCAGGGTTAACAGGAGTAGAATGGGATAACTCCCTGCCCCCAGTGACTGGTCTGCCCTTCCATGTCCTGCTGATGAGCCAGGCTGGCTGTGCTGCCATCAGCAGTGGCCTGGAATACTGTAGACCTGTCTGGCTCAGGAACCGGATTATCGAGACCGCCACAGATGGTTGGCTCGATTCCGACATTCTGTTGCCAAGCATGTCACCTGGGAGCCAGTTCAGCTCCAAGGACATCATGCCTCCACCCACCCCCCATCCCCCCGTGAAATGTGTGAGAGCATTGTGTTGTTCTTCAAGTAACACAAGATAAAAATTAATTGAGTAAATCTAGATTTTGGTGGAATTTTATCATAAGATAGCAGGAATCACTAGACAGTGATCAGGAGCAGGAACACAATTGATTTGGTCCTTTACCCAGTCAAGAACACTGAGACTAATTATAGTACCCCAGAGATCAGCTAATTTAACGCAGACCTGGGATCTCAATGGTCTTGGTGTGGCTGAAATTCACACTAGGTAGTCGCCAACTGAGTCATTGGGAGCCCACAGTTGTTATCTTTTGAAGACAAATGATGGATATTTACATAGCTGCATCATAAGAAACATTAGCCCAATAACTTTATCCCCTTTGTGAACTGATGAGTTGTAAATATTAACAAATTTCCTACAAAATACTGGATACTGCATTTTAGAGTATATCTGTGAAGCGCTTTGAGATGTTTTCCCAACATTAACATTATTACTCACCTTCACCTGCCTCACCGGGCATTCTCTGGGGCCTGGATACATATGGATTAACGTTTTTTGCACTATTAGAGCGATCAACTGAAGAGGGCTTCTAAATGGATACAAATCAACATCAGTTAGCAGTGAACAACTTCATCCCTTATACATTAGGGAAAATGTTGCTTATCAAACAGTTGGAAAAAAAAACACTGAAAGAAGGATGTTAATTCTCCAGATTGTAGCATGTATTTGAAGCATGTAAAGCGTATGCCAAAAACCCATGTTAGTCCTATTGTGCAAGCTGAGTGTGGAGATCTATTGCATGAATATACTGAAATGAAATGACTTGAGGTGCATAATTTGTTGAATGCTTATCCAATGAGCAATTAGAAAGATCAACATTTTGACTTCTGTTTTGTGAGTAGGGGCTCCTGAGGAGCAAAATATTATTTGTTTCTGTAGTTCTAATGATCCGAAAAGTAAAGTTAGGAAATAAAGTTCAAGGCGTCTTAGATAAGGTAGTACCATAATAGACCTAAGTGGGTTTCTGAGGCTCTCCCCACTTCTAATGCTAATGGAAATTCAGCTTCACGCTGCTTGTATTTTACTGTATCAACAACAACTTGGATTTATATAGCGCCCTCCACGCTGGACGGCGTCTCAGAGTGCTTCATAGTAACGGATCCCGGGGCCGAGCCAGGGGGAGGGGGAGGAAGGTGACCAAAGGCGTGGTCGAAAAGAAAGGTCTTCAGCAGAGACCTGAAAATAGGAAGAGAGGGGACGAGGCGAAGGGAGTGAGGAAGGGAGTTCCAGAGCCTCGGGGCGTAGTGGCTGAAGGCACAGCCACCGAGGGTGGAGCGGAGGACTCTGGGGACAAGGAGGAGGCCATACCCGGAGGAACGAAGGCAACTGTTGTGAGGAGAGAGGTCAGAGAGGTAGGGAGGTGCAGAGGAGTGAAGACAAAGGTGAGGATTTTTAAGTTGATCATTCTTTTAAGATGGCATAGGGAAGACCATTCATCCGAAGTGCTATGTTTATCTCATCAGTGACAGCAAAGAACTCTCCTGTTCTCACCCAGCACGCATCACTCTTCTTGTTGTTTTTATTTTGGTGACCAGCATGAATGACAGGTCACTGTGTAACCGTTATACTGCACAATGGGATTTTATTTGCAGCCCTGCACCCAGTCTGGTGCTGAAGGCAGCATTTTTTTCCTGTGTCTTCATTTTGCAATGATGTAGCATCTCAAAAATGAAGGAGCACAGAAATTTTAATACAGTAGCAACAATTATGCAGTTATGCAGTTGTGATCCTTAATTTAAAACGTCTGACTTGAAATTCAACTCTGCGTCAGTTTCTAACAATATTTCACCTTAAAATGTAAAACTGCAGAGAATTGCATAAAATTCTTAAACCAAGCGTTAATTTGGAAGGTGATTTAAGAATTTTCCACAATTCTGTACAATCTTATGTTTTAAGCCAAAACAGTCTTAAAAGCTAAGACGAGATGTAATTTAGGATCTTAAGATCTCAAAAGAGTGGTGAGAATGTGGAATTCATTGCCGGTTGAAGCAAAAAGCATCAACGTATTTACAAAGAAATTTGACGCATATGTGAAGAGAAGGGAATAGAGGGATATAGAAGAGAAAATTTGGAGGGGTGGAGGCTCGTAAATACCTCACAGAGGCTTTGGAGCAAATTGCCTGTGTCTGTACAGTAATGTGTGAATGTAATTAGTTTTGCATTAGGGACTTTCAGAGCATCTCTAACATGTACAATCGGCTTGAGACTTCTCAGGGTAATTATTTTAACTCAAATGATTAAGTGCTCTGTAATGTTGGATTCTTGTGGTGCTCATGGAGAGGAATAAATGGGTGAGGGAAGAGAAAATATTTGCTTTGGTTGTTGATTCTAAATATGTAACGGAGTTCTTCAATCATCCAGTAGGGGTCTTCTTCATTCTATTGTTGGTTCGTCATACTCCGACTGCCCTGCTCCTCGGTGACTTTCTGCTATACATTTGCTGCTAAAGATGTCCACCTGCTCTAAAGCCTCTGTCAAAGCATCTATTGAGATGATCAGCAAAAGACGAGAGTGACTCGCCCTCTCTTTTTTCTTCTCACCCATCCAGTGAACAGTCTCGTTCGCTGCTTGATGGCAGTCAAGGTCTTCTGAAGCTCTCCATATGGAGAAACTAAGGATGTGCACCCACAGCTGACCACACTGTGGCGCTGCATGTTCACTGTAAACAAACTGGGAACAGCAAAGCTCTATACAACTGCACAAGACAAAGGACAAAGGACAGGTATCACTCCTTACCTGGAAACTATACTTAAGGTTAAAAATATATATATATGTTTTACTGTTACATGTCGGGCATTTTGAGTCTAGCAGCAACCTTATTTGAGGTGCATTGAAAGAAATTACAAAAATGGAAAGAGAATTATGAAAAAAGGAGATTAAAAGGGAACAAAAGAATTGATCGAAAAGAGAATTATGGTTTCAAAAAGAAACTGTAAAGATAATTCAAAGTCTCTCTGTAGCAAAGTCTTTAAGGGAAACAGTTCCAGACATGACAACTTATGGATAATTTGTGCATATTAAGCGCTTTGAGACATCTAGGAGATGTGAAAAGCGCTATATCAAATGCAAGGATTATTACTATATTCTACCATTTTGTCATGGATTCTCGTGTTCATGAATGAGGTTACCAATTTATGCTTTGTTTTAGTTTTGATGGATAATATTGTTGATTTTTTTAAAAAATCTTTCACTTTTCGACTATCAAACTGTCTGCCTTCAGGGTTGCAAAGCTGCCACTGCCATCCTGTGGAGTCCTGTAGCTTAGTTGTGAGAGTACTTGCCTCACAAGCAAGAGGACTTGGGATAGATTCCCAACAGGGTGAAAGGTTAGGCAAGTTTCTTTAGTCGATGGTTAGTCGATTGTCAGATCACTTTTAGCGGGGGTAATAATCCCTTAAAAAAACAATTTAAAAAAAAATTTCATCCCTCAAATGTTTGTGGGACACTGCTGTGCAGTAGGACAATTGGCTGCTGAGTTTCGCCCACAAAATATACACTTTACAGTATATTCTGTGAAGCTCTTCGAGAAGTCTCGAAGACGTGATAAGGTGCTATATCAAATGTAAGGATTACTATTATTATCACTAACACCTCTAACATCACTCTCTGCCCACAGAGTACCTGCACACTATACAGGAAGTCTGTGGTGACGTTGCAAGCGGAAGTTAGGCATTCTTCTAATTCAAAATCTTTTAGAAACTAAAAAGATGTTTAAAAACAGAAGTTAATTTTCTTTATTTTGGAGAAAACTGGAAAACCCAACAAGTTGCATATTTTGCCGATTAAAATCAAAAACCGGCATGAGTATGAAATTGTTATGGAGGTATAATTTATCGTCTTTTAAGATGTTTTCTTAATAAATGTTTCTGTGTCCAAGTTCTCTGACTAATTTTTCTCACTATCGGCATATATGTCTGGACCCTAGCCTCTACATGCACTTCCATGGGCACTTGTTGCCCTTTGGTACCTGGTCCAAGTGGTTATTACTCATGGATGAATCTTGGCAGTGAGTGTCGCAGGTATGTAGAGAGCATCACTGCTGAGCCTGACCTTTCTTCATCCAGCTGTCACACATGTGCACTATTAGTTGTTGTTGAGGATCAGTAGCAAGAAACTATGGCTTTTCCCCCTCTTTCACCTTGAGAAAGTCTAGGGCCAATATCTTAAGATTTCTGCATAGGAAATGTAAAATTATCACATTTCTAAAACAGTCAATGTGCTGAAGATGGTGTTATTTAGTCTGTTCAATGTTTCAGATATTTGATAATTGTTTATTGCTTGTTAAGAAATGTATTAGGAAATATTGCCAATTTATATCTCTCATTCGGGATTTGACATCAGGGCTTTGCACAATTCCTACATTCTGCCTAGTTGAACACTTTCAAATCTAAACCAAAACATTTTTAGGTAACAGCAAATTAAGGAACTTGCAATTCTCTATTATGCTAAAATATTTATATGTCGAGCCACTGAATTCTTTCAGTGGGCACATCGGCTTGGATTATAGGAGTTAAATATTACTCTGAAAATTTGTACGAGTGCAACTAAATGACAAGAAAAATGCAACTAGCTTCCCTCCCACAGTCTGAGCCGAAAAATCAACTCAGACTGGCAAAGAACTGCAAGAAACTTTTCCCACTTTGATCTCTGTGAATTAAGATTTCTGAGGCTGTTTTGTTCCTTCGCTGAGAAATCGCCAACAACAAAATGAAGGTGCATTAGTTTCCAACCCGAAGAAGAATTAAAACAACGTGGTCCAGATTCTCACAGAATTCACGGCACTGGCTGAGAGCTGAACAGTGACACCCCTTGGTTCAGTGTGTCAATCGCAAAGATGCCAGCAAGCATTCAAGTCATTATCATTTCCTTACAACAGTAAAACATCAACAACGATTCACATCTGCTGCGGCACATACCACACCATTAGATTCTCAACACCTTATGCAAGAATCAGTCAGTTGGATACTAAACTTAGAAAAGCGTAAAAGCAAATGATGAAGCTGGAAATGATTAACGGCCACACCATTATGCTTGAATAAATCCCAGCGGGTGGGACTGCGATCACATGCACATTTTTGAAAACTGTTAGTAAATGCCTCCGAATAGAGAAAAAAGCATTGATTAGCAGCTCTCACCACAAATTAGTTCAGGTCATGCAAAAATCATATTAGGGGGTTCAGCATCCCATTAAATTACAAATTATGAAATAGTACGTGAATAAAGACCTTCTTGAAGCCAGGCTTTGGAAAGGATGAGGATTTGATCCTTGAGAATATTCCACCAACTGCCTCAAGCTAGAAACCACAATTTCAGAACAGGAAATTTTAATTTCTCTTTTAAGGCATTGCACTTTATTCATTCCTTACTCTCATATATTTGGTAAGTTCTTCAAAGAAAGAGTTGAATGCAGATCTACTTTTCGTTCAGGCAAGGAACAACATGTGTGAAAATGCTTAACTCTGTAAAGTGTGCCTGTTGCACTCCTCCTCACTCCGAACCAGCCTGAATCTGGACTGGCAATCATTCTTGAGTTGGATCCTTCGGAGGTGTTAAACAATCATAATAATGCAAAATGGAAAGTTTAATACAACAGGTCACCTTAAAGGCCCCAATTTGTTTCACCCAGAGGGACTCTCCACATAGTCTCATCCCTACAGTCCAGATCTCCTTTCAATGTTGAGCAAAGCCATCTGTTTGTCTTACACAAGAGATTTTGATAAAGAAGGTACCTCAGCCTATTTGATCTCTAATTTGATCTGCCATACTGCCCACCTTACCATTCTTCCATTATTGGAATCAGAAATAAGTTGGGCAAGTTTTCTTATTCCACACGCCTCTGTTTACCTAGCAGTAAGGAGGATCCTGGTTGTTATGCGATTGGCTGATCGATTTTCCGGTGGTAATAATCTCTTCATATAAAAAATAAGAATAATTTGGTCACTCAATCCACAACTGTTTGTGCAACACTACTGTTTGCAATTGGCTTCCGCATTTCGCAACAAAATACAGTTAATTCATTTTACAGTATATTCTGTGAAGCGCTTTGAGAAGTCTAGAAAACATAAGGCACTATATCAAAAGCAAGGATTATTATTATTATTAAATGACACTGGTACTGCACCCAACAGCCAGCCTGTGGGAACTCAGTCCTGTATTTCATGGGGCCTAACCCATTGTTGCAGTGGATGATGTTTGTACAGTGAAAGCATTATTAAATCTTTGTGTGTGGAAATGTGACATTGTGACCGACCAACCATGAGTCAGTAATTCGCACTAACGATGAATGTGTTGAACAGACTTCTTAACCGGGTGAAATTCTGATTTGGGTTACAGAAAGTGCTTTTGCTCTGTAATAAATATAATCCTTACAATTGATACTTCTTATCATGTCTTCGAGACATCTCAAAGCGATCCACAGAATATACTGTAAAGCGAATTGACTGTATATTTTGTGGGAGAAACGCGGAAGCCAATTACGCACAGCTGGTCCCACAAACAGTCATGGGTTGAATGACCAAATTATTTTTTATAAATTATTTTGAAGGAATATTACCCCTGGAAAAGCGTTTTGCCAATTGACTAACAAATGGGTTCCTACTTACTGCTAAGTAAACAGAGGCATGCGGAGTAAGGAAATGTTTCGCCCTGCCGGGAATCAAAACCAAGTCCTCTCGTTTACGAGGCGAGTGCTCTATCCACCAAGATACAGGTCTAGTCCATGTTGGCTAGTCCATGGGATTTTCTCCCCCATTATCATGCATTGTCAAAGGTGTTATGCATAACCCTGGCCAGAATTTCAGTCCACAAATTCCTCAAAGTCTTCCCCCCCACACCCCCTGAACAGTGACATTCTAAAACTGAGTTTGAAATTCCTGACCATGACAGAAAGCAGAACAAGAAATGATAAAGCAATTCCGCTTGTTTGTCCAAAATAAATCACACTAATGAATGGAACAGTCAAGAAGTGTATTGATCTCGAACGTTGACTGGTGAGGGAGCTACTGTGGAAAATTATCGTGACCGTCAATAAAATGACAAATAAGGAATTGGAAAGAATAAAATATAAGTATACCCTGTGAAGCACTTTGAGTCATCTCAACGATGTGATAAGGTGCTATATCAAAGGCAAGGATTATTAGTAGCAGTAATGGTTAAAGCTTATGTTGGTAGGAAAATCATTATCCAAACCTTGGAACATCTTCCTGATGTGAACAACAAAATTGCATTTGTATAGCGCCTTTCATGTTGGGAGGACATACCAAGGTCCTGGACAGTCAGTGTTTCAGACCTGAGCTGGGGTTGGGAATCAGGGAGGGTGGAGGGCAGGGGTGGGGAAGGAGGGTGATCAGAGGCACAGTTGAAGAGGAGCGTCTTGAAGGAGGCAAGCGAGGGGTTGAGGCAGAGAAACTGCGGGATGAAGTTCCACAGGGTGGGGGCAGAGTGGCTGAAGGGCTGCCTGCCTTGGTGGGGAGGACAAGGTGGGGGATGTGAAGCCGGCCGGAGCCCACTGAGCGGAGGGAGCGGGCAGGTTGGTAGGGCGTTAGGAGGTCGCAGAGGTAGGGGGGAGCAAGACCATGGAGGGCTTTGAAGGTGTGGACCAGGATCTTGAACTGTATCCTCTGCGTGATGGGAAGCCAGTGGAGTCAGGCTAAGATGGGGCGGGTAGGGTCCTGGAGCCTGGTGCCTATGCAGGGAGGAGTTGGGGGGCTGACAAGCAGGGCATTACCATAAGCAAGCCTGGATGTTATGGATGCGTGTATGAGGGTCTCGGCAGCTCGCCGAGACAGTGGTGGAGCTGGGCAATGTTGCGGAGGTGGGGAAAGGCAGAGCGGGTCATGGCATGGATGTGGGGTAGAATGGATAGTTGAGTGTCAAACAAGATGCCAAGGTTCTTGAATGGCTTAATAAAGTGGAGTGTGCATCCATGGAGGTGATGCTGTCAGTGCCTGAGGTGCGGAGGCGCTGACAGGAGCCAATCAGGAGGGTCTCGGACTTGTTGAAGTTCACCTGGAGAAAGGTAGCTCTCATCTAGGACTTGATGTCTGGCAGTGGTCCTGGAGTCGAGGGTGGAGGCAGAGAGGTACAATTGCGTGTCATCCGCATACTTGTAGAAGTTGACCCTATGTTTGTGGATGATGTCACCAAGAGGGAGCATATAGATATTGAAGAGGAGGGGACCAAGGACAGAGCCCTGAGGAACACCGCACGAGACGGTGTGGGGGCTAGAGAAGAAACCATTCGTGGAGATGAAATGGAGACGGTGTGAGAGGTAGGATCTGAACCAGTCAAGGACAGAACAGTGAAAGATGCTATATAAATGTAAATTAGTATTGTACTGCATTACTGCCGATCTTTTGAGAGACCTCAGAATAGGAAAGCAATCTGAGATACCAGTGCAGGTTAATAAATTTTGGCCATGTTTTGTGGAAAAAGTGACTTCAAGGTGACTGAATGGACTTTTACAACATTCTGAAGGGAATTCGCAAAGTTGATCCAGGAGGGTTCTTTTCCCCACAAAGACAACACAAGTCGTGACCATGCTTTAAAAATAAAGAACTTTGGAGTAAATAGATAACTCAATTGTAAAAGTATGTTACTCAATGGTGATAAGACATGAGTAATATTTTTTTAGGGAAGGGCATTGATGCACAAGTTATCAGTAGATATAAGAGACAGGAGGGAGTAGACATGGTGGAGAGCTGAACATATTGAGTTGAGATTCTTTGAAGGATTTTTTTTGTGTCAAATGGTCCTTTCCGGTTACTAAAATACTCTTTGTTGCTATGGAGAAAGCAACTGTTGGCTATTATTGGCTAGAAAGCTTTTAAAAACGGGATTCACATCTGTGAGAGCAGTTGTGGATTTCATTCAGGCACTCTGCATATGTTGGTCCCAATTGGCTTATACTTTAACTTAGAAAACTGTTCAGAATATGATGAGGAGGCAATTGGTCATTGCATTGATCTGTATTCTGATCTCTGACCACAGAATCAGAGCATTTTATCAGCTCAGAAGAAGGTCATTTGGCTCATCCAGACATTCAGTAAAATGTCCGTCCTTCCTCCCTCAACACACACACACACACACACACCACACAAGCACATCTCCAGTGGTCTGTATACTTAAAATCTAGAGAAGATGAAAAAGCGCCGGAATAAACGCAAACCCACCTGAAATTGAAACTTCACTTTGGAATTAACATTAATGTTTAGCTAAAATACAGTTCTCAATTTTTATATTTGACTAATAATAATAAGCCTTCTATATTTTTAATATGTTAACAAATAGTTATATTTAGATTGTGAATGGATGTGTTCTATTGTCTCATTGCTCCTATGAAGCTGTAACTTGCAGTGAGACCAGAATAACATCAAATGTGTTACAATTGACATCATGAGATGCTGAGTTCCCAGAATAATTTGTTACCAGACAAGTTTCACTTCAACATATATTTAAAAAACTGAAAAGCACACGAATTCATGAGTTTTGCAATCAACCTTTTTTTTTGGATAAAAGGTTAAGTAGCTGTAGGTGGTAGCTGTATTACAAGGGGATTTCTGTTGGTTTAATTTAATATTGACCATTTTAGAAACGAATAACTTCAGAAAATGAACTTTTGGATTGTTCTCCAAGTTTCCCTTCCTCTCCGAACACATGCTTGGGAATATTACCATAAAGGAGCCACATTCAGGTACCTCATCCAAGTCAAGGGGCCATGGGCAGCAGCTGTTAACGGATTGTACCACCATCGAGCATTGCAGCCAATCCCATTTTTACCCAACATACATACAAGCACACACAAACATACATGCATATTCTTCCTCGCAGGACTCATTGCACGCAAAGAGCATTTGATCTTTCTACCTCAATATAGTCCATGAGTGTTGAGACCAATAGGGACACCCATCGTGTTATCACATCTGAAAACAGCAAGCTGGCTGTGTCAAAAAAAAGTGTCAACAAAATGCAAATTACTGCAGATGCTGGAAATCTGAAACAAAAACAGAAGTCACTGGGAACACTCAGCAGAACTGCTCGTGGACCCGAAACTTTGACTCACTCTCCTTTCTCCCTAGATGCTGCCTGACCTGCTGAGTGTTTCCAGTGACTTCAATTTAAAATGTCAGAGTGGCTCAGTTGGTGGCACTCGTACCTCCAAGTCAGAAGATTGTGGGTTCAAGCCGTGCCGGGACTTTGAGCTCATAGTCCAGGTTGATGCTCCAAAACAATTGAGGGTGCGCTGGTCAAATAGCCAGGAGCATTGGGCCATAAACTTACTCAGGTTTTGATTTCACCCCTGTAATTTCCACATACAATTCATTCTAAGAATGGTCATATGGGAGGAGCCAAGTAGAGGCAAGGAAATTGCCCAGAATGAGGGCAAAGGAATCACAGGGTCAAGTTGCATTTTTTTCTCGTATCATTCAGCATCTTGTTAAACAGGCAGAAATGGTAAAAAAGAAGTTGCAAAATGGGAAAGGGTTGTTGTTGAACAACCTGCATATGAACAAATTGAAGCATTAAGGCCTGAAATTCTACCTAGACGCTGCCTTTAAGGCCATTCCGCCTTAAAATGTAAAATTGTGACTAATAGTGGAAAATTTATCAATTCCGTCTCAATTTGGAAGCAGATTCTTTTCATGTCTTCAGAAAACTGGCTTCCAGATTCAGACTACATTTAAGACTTTTTACACAGTTCTGTGCCATTTTAAAGTTTGAGGCGAAACATTTTTAACAGGCTAATATTAGACGGAATTTGGGGCCTAATTACTTTTGACAAGTACCGCATACAAACAGTGCCTCTTTGTGATCTACTTTACCACAGATTATTTCTATTAGGCTTTTTCTTTCAGTGATATGAAAATGTCATCACAGTAACACTCAAAATTCCTCCGGGTTGTTCTGCCTGAGCTTTCAGATACATGTGTTCCAATAGCTCAATGCCTGATGAATTCTGTGATGTTTCTGACTTGTGCAGTTTTTAACTAGTCTTGAGTGACAAATGCATACTTACCCGAGGATGGTTACTTGGAACTGGGGGAGCTGGCATCAATCCAAATGTATCTGGGAAAAAAAAATTTTTTTTTAGAACTGGAATTAACCACCATCGATTTTTATCTATCTGAATATTTAGGTGATGTAGTCGTGGAATCCTGTAGTTGTAGTTAGCGCGTTTGCCTCGCAAACGAGAGGACTCGGGTTCAATTTCCAAGCAAGGCAAAACCTTAGGCAGGTAAGTAGGAACCCAGTTGGTATTCAATTGGTGGATTAATTTCCGGCATAATAATCCATCCAAAAAAATGTGGGTCATTCAATCCATGATTGTTTGTAGGACACTGCTGTCTGCAATTGACTGCCGCATTTAACCCACAAAATAGTCAATTCACTTTATAGTATATTCTGTGAACACTTTGAGATGTATCAACGATGTGATAAGGCTCTTTATCAAATGCAAGAATCATTATTATTATGTAAATATAAATCATGTCTCTTCAACTACAGTGTGCTGAAACATCAATACTTTCTGAATAAAAACATGGGAAATATTAACCATTCAAATCAAGAGCCATATTCGGGACAAAGTATGGTCTTGTTTTTGGAACAACCACATTGTAACCGCAATAAATACTTAAGTTGTGAGTTGTTCACCGATGGTTCTAATTGCTCTATTTTCAGTGAAAGGAGCCTGGCAGGGCACTGAAAGTTTACCATGAAAATGCAGACTCCTGATGCAAATGCTACAAGAAAATGTCAATGATATTAATAGTGCAGTCCTTTGCAAAATCAGGGGAAGGAAGGAAAGTGATAGTTGCTACAAATACCAGCATTGGGCTTAGCCCTTACTTCCCGAAAAAAAAACCTTGAAGCACCAAGCAAAATGAGTTTGAAATACAGGATGGCTGGATTTTGATCTAAAAGAACAGGCATTCAAACATATATTCAGTCCAGTTTTACCTGACATTTCTGAAATGAAAAACTGTTCCTCATTGGCACTACAGTTTAAGTAGTTTATCATCAGTTAATTTGGACACAAATTCAACTGTCTTGATGAAAAGTGCAGCCTTTCATGATCTGGTATGTGCCTTTAACATCTAATGCAGTTACTTTCCCTCTATTTTCTGCCTTTTTCTCTCATCTGTCACTCACACTGGAAAACAGTTCCACAGATATCACCAGCTCTCTGATGCCTCATCCAAGAAAAGCCATGTGTGATCTTAGACAATAGGTTATTCAACCACGAAGAGACAAATAAATTGGCCCTATCCTATTTCTGCTCAACATCATTATGTATGCACAACAGAATAACGGGGTTACTGGATGGTGGCAACCCTGGAAAGTATTTTTACCTCATAGCCAGGATACCCTGAAGCCAATTGTAGTAACCAAAGGTTCCTGGGCTGAGATCAATTAACTACAATTGGACCCAGTTTGTATGGCTCAGGACCACACCAAAGGGGTAAGTACTCACTGGTACTTCTTGGGAGCAAAAATACAGTGCATGTGCTGATTATCACATCGAACAAAATACAATTAGTGTTAAGAGGTCATTTGTCTCAGAAGTGCCCCCACCCTCTACATGATAATTATCTGTTGTGATGATATCCATTGCTGTAATTCCCCTCTCGTTGCATTGATCACACTAAGGCTATTTTATGGACAAACTTCTTTGGCAAAAAGTTTGATTACCTGTCAAAATGAACTACATTTTGAATGGCCATTGCTTAATCTACACCCGGTCAAGAAACCTGTGTGGCATGTGATAAATAGAATAGGAAGTACAGGAGAAATTCATTCAGTAAAAGGCTGAACGGCTTGGAGAACAAGCCACCAGAACAGGCAGTGGAGTAAGGAACAATTGAAGGCGTTCAATAAAGGAAACAAAGTTCATACCTAGAAATTAACAGGAGTCAGACTTACTAGATCAAAAATAGGTGCTCAGCTACATCTGCTTCCTCCACCTAGTTCTACTGTTACCCGATGTCCTCTCTAGAAGCTCTAGTGCCTTCTTCTCTGGTTCCCATACCATTCCTCAGGGCTCTATATATGGTCCTATCCTTTTTTTTGTCTGCAAGCTCCCTCTTGGTGACATCATTTTCAGATATGAGGTCCACCTTCATATGTTTGCGGATGACACCCAACTCTGTTTCTATCCTTGACTCTAGTACCACTGGGGTTTGTGAGAGATTGACTGACAGATATGAAGCCCTGGATTTAGGGCTAGAGTAGTTAGGACATGAAATGCCCTGTCGGGAGCTGTAGTTGAGGTACAATCCATTTTGGCCTTTAACAGGAACATAGACAAATACCTTAAAAAGAGTCAGCTCCAGAGATATGGGGAAAGGGCACATAAGTGGGGCTGAAAGCATTGTTCTTGATGGAACCGGGACAGGCATGATGGGCTGAATGGACTTCTGTGCCATAAAGTTCTTTGGTAAATTTCTTGGGATGTCTTCCCGACGTGAATGGCGCTTTACAAATGTAATTTTGTTGGTGGTGATGGTTCTATGGATGAGCGTTAACTTCCTTCAGCTGAATGTGAATCAAAGTCATTATGTCTGATTCTCACCAGGGCCTCAGCCTACATCCCTAGCGACTTACTCCAGCTCATCAGCCACTGTGCACTTTTCTATATTTTTGACCCTCGGTTCTCCTTTCACCAAGTCCGCTTTCCTTCTCTCAGCAACATCACGCACCGCCATGCTTACCTCATCACCATACTCTAGACTCTCATCCATGACTTTGGCCCTTCAGATTTGTTTTCTCCAAGCCTCCTACTTACTGCTAGGTAAACAGAGGCGTTTGGAGCAAGGAAACTTGCCAAATGGTCTATTTCTGCCTGGAACTGTGACTATATTACTATGGTGTTTCCTCCCTCCCATTAACAGTTATAATGCAAGAGATATAACATACCAACTGGATGATCAGGATTGGAACAGGGCTCAGTGAGAACTCGAAGCAGCCCGTCTGACTTGTGACAGTAATGATCAACCATCTAGGAAGAACAGTTTATATAATTAAAGACATAGTCAACAGCAACAAAAATATAGTGATGCTCCATCTCATCGTCCCTTGTCTTCAGTCTCAAGACATTTCATGAGAACAAATCATTGCTGCCCCTTCAAAAGATGTTAAAAAATCGTGTTAAGCCTGTATCCCACAAACCAGCACTGAAATGCCATCAAAACGCAAAACACTGCAGATGTGGATGGAGGAATGAACCAGGGAGTCACAGAGGGAACGGTCCCTTTGGAATGTTGAGAGGGGAGGGAAAGATATGCTTAGAGGTTGGATCACGCTGGAGGTCCTGGTAATGGCGGAGAATTATTTGTTGGATGTTGAGGCTGGTGGGGTGGAAGGTAAGGACTAGGGGGACCCTATCACGGTTCTGGGAAGAGGGCGAAGGGGTGAGGGCAGAGTTACGGGAGATAGGGCGGACACGGTCAAGGGCCCTGCCTACTACAGTGGATGGGAATCCTCGGTAAAGGAAAAGGGAAGATATTTTAGCTGCTCTGGTGCTAAAGGTGGCATCATCAGAGCAGATGCGATGGAGGCAGAGGAACTAGGAAAAGGGAATGGAGTCTTTACAGGAAGTGGGGTGGGAGGAGGTATAGCCCTGGTAACTGTGGGAGTTGGTGGGGTTATAAATGATATCTGTTAATAATCTATGCCTTGAGAAAGAAATGCCATGATCCTCTGGATGGCAGGTTCATTGACTGCCGTCAGTTTGGGCACCTCCATTGTGATAAAATCAGGAGGGGGTGGGGTTGGGGGTGGGGTTCACATGTAAAAGATATCGATTGAGACATTGACAGTGCTGGATTTTCATCGGTGCTAATTATCACATCACATGTAACATTCGCTTTCAGCAACACGGAAGCATTTAACTACAGATCCTGGCTCTTCAACAAATGTAGCTTTCCGAAAATATTAAGAAAGAAACTTACACAGAGGCAGTATGTTAATAAACGATCTGTGATTGTAATCAACGTTTTTCCACAAAGAAAGCTAATTGTAACCGTTTGGTTGACAAATCTTTGCAAAGTACAGTATAAACCACAATAAAGTTATTAGTGGAAGTAAACATCAGACTGATTCACATCAGGTTAGTGTGGGTCTGTGTATTTATGTAAACAGTATATGTGTACTCAGCTTTATAAGAAGTAGGTCAATTGCTATTTCCCCACAGTTAACAACAGTTAACAAGTGACTCATTGAGAGTGCATAGATGACTGAGATCGCATCTGTGAGTGTAAACAAGTATAAACAGAGTAGTCTTGATGATCTCTGTAAATTGACAGGAATTGCAGATAGTTATAATGCATTTGCTTGTGATACACACAGGAGCTTGTTACATGATGATACCAGACAGCAGCCAAGAATTTGCCAAGAACTGATTAATATTAATTATCATATTTTAAAGGACTGACGCAAGTTAGGTTATTTGTGAAAATAGCAATTAGTTACCCAAAAATAGGTAAAATGCTGACGATCAGGGTGGTGCATAAGACAATGGGTTAGCTGGCAGAATATAAATGTTCCCTTTATACAATGAATCAGCCACACAAAGAAATATAGGTTTCAAATATGTTTTTGACTTCTGACAATGGGCTTTTTAAAAAAAGATATTTTGTGCTCTTTAAGACTCTTCAACATTCACAAATAACACCCAAATAATTAATCTTTTTTTTACTAGTATTGAGGTATTTGATAAAAAAATGTTAGGCACAGATTATCAGCTAATTCTGGATATGTATGGAATTTTTAAGGCATATAACTCATACGGCATAATTACAGCCTGATTTGGGCTTTTTATTTTGGGTTAGTACCCCAGGCTTATGAACACCCTGAACACTTTGAAATTCCAGAGTTAGAAGTTATTGTAACCACTGATGACAAATCCAAGCAGAAACTTTATTTTTGGCCACCTGTTTGTCTGACACATACGGACACCCATCAACATTCTTAAGACAACAACAACAAAATTACATTTATAGAGCACCTTTCATGTCAGGAGGACGTCCCAAAGTGCTGGACAGTCAGGGGTCGGGACCAGAGCAATGGGGAGGAGTGGGGTAGGGGTGAGGGAAGGCAGAGAGGTGGGAGGGCGATTGAAGGCACGATCGAAAAGAAAGGTCTTGAGACCAGCCTTGAAGAAGGCAAGGGAGGAGGCGAGATGAAGGGACCATGGGATGGAGTTCCAGAGTGTGGGGGCAGAGAGGCTGAAAGCCTGGCTACCAATGGTAGGGCGAGTCGGGCGGGAGACATGGAGCAGGCCAGAGCCCGCTGAACGGAGGGAGCGGGCAGTTGGTAGGGAGTCAACAGGTCAGATAGGTAGGAGGGGGCAAGGCCATGGATGGCCTTGAAAGTAAGGACAAGTATCTTGAATTCAATCCTCTGGCGGATGGGGAGCCAGTGGAGTCAGGCGAGGATGGGAGTGATGGGGTCACGGAGCCTGGTGTGTGAGAGTACATGAGCTGCAGCGTTTTGGATGATCTACAGCTTTTGAAGGGAAGAGTTGGGAAGGCCGATGAGGAGAGAGTTTCTGTAACCAAGCCTTGATGTGATGAAAGCGTGGGAGAGGGTTTCAGCAGCCTGAGGGGTGAGGCAGTGGCGGAGTCTGGCAATGTTTCGGAGGTGGTGGGAGAAAGGACATGGTGCGGATGTGGGGGAGAAAGGACAGTTCAGGGTCAAACAAGACATCCAAGTTCCTGACTGGCTTTGTGAGGTTGAGTGTGCAGCCATGGAGGCTGATGCTGCCAGTGCCCGAGGTGCGGAGGTGCTAGCGTGAGCCAATCAGGAGGGCCTCGGTCTTGCTGACATTGAGTTGGAGAAAGTTGTCCCTCATACAGGACTTGATGTCGGTCAGGCAGTCGGTCAGGACGCCAGTAGTCCTGGACTTCAGGGTGGAGGCAGAGAGGTAGAGTTGGGTGTCATCCGCATACATGTGGAAATTTACCTCATGTCTGTGGATGATGTCACCAAGGGGGAGCATGTAGAGGGTGAAGAGGAGGGGACCGAGGATAGAGCCCTGAGGGACACCGCACAAGACAGTGCGGGGGCTAGAGGAGAAGTCGTTTGCTGCGACGAAGTGGAGGCGGTGTGAAAGATAGGATGTGAACCAGTCAAGGACAGAACCTTGAAGGTTGAGGTGGGAGGAGAGGTGGTGGAGGAGGACTGAATGTGTCAAAGGCAGCGGAGAGGTCGAGGATGAGGAGGAGGCAGAGAGAGACCTGGTCACACATGGTCAGGATGTCGTTTGTGACCTTGCCCAGAGCAGTTTCCGCTCTGTGGGCAGCACAGAAACCCAATTGGAGGGGTTCATAGTGGGAGTGAAAGGAGAGGAAAGAGCGGAGCTGGAGGCAACGGCTCTCTCAAGCTGGCCAGATGGCCAGTAGCTGGATAGCTGTGATGGGTCAAGGGAAAATTTCTTCAAGGTGGGGGTGACAGTGGCTGTTTTAAGCGAGGTAGGAACAGTGCCAGATGACAGGGAGAGGTTGATGATGTCGGCGAGTAGTGGGGCAAGGAGGTGGAGCTGAGATTTAAGGAGAGGGGTGGGGTTGGGGTCCAGGGAGCAGGTAGTTGGCTTCATGGAGGATATGGTTATAATAATAATAATAATAATCCTTGCATTTGATATAGCGCTTTTCACGTCGGGAGGACATCCCAAAGCGCTTCACAGAACACACTGTAAAGTGAATTGACTGTATATTTGTGGGCGAACGCGGCAGCCAATTGCGCACAGCAATGTCCCACAAACAGTCGTAGATTGAAAATGACCAATTTATTATTGTTTTTGGTTTTGAAGAGATTATTATTTGGTTGTGAAGACAGAGGAGGAGGTGACAGGTTCAAAGGTGTGGAATCAGGGATGGGTAGTTGTTGGAGTGTGGATGGGGGGTAGGGAGGGGGTGAAAGTTGGAAGGGCAGTAGCAGCTGAGAAGATTCCCTTGATTTTGGACTCGAGGAAGTCCAGCATTTTCTCGCAGTAAGAGTCAGAGAAAAGTATCTGCGAGGCATGTTGGGGAGGGCGGAGGAGCCCGTTGATGGTAGACAACAGGAGCCTGGTGTTGCCCTTCACCTCCAGGATTAACCTGGAATAGAAGGACGATTTGGCTGAGCCGAGAGTGGAGCGGTAGGTTTTTATGAGGTCCAGCCAGATGTGCCGGTGGACTGTTAGGCTGGATTTGAGCCAGCTGCGTTCGGCAGCCCGAACCTGGGTCTTAAGCGAGCGGAGGTGGCTGGTGAACCAGGGTGTGGATCAGGAATAGGAGGCAGTTCGGGAGGTGAGGGGGGCAAGGGCGTGGAGTGTGGTGGAGAGGGTGTTGTGGAGAAGAGTAAACGCAGCAACTGGGTTGGTGCGAGAGGTGGGCCAGAGGGGGAGGAGTTCATAGGATTCCAGGGCAGTGGAGAGGGATTGTGGGGAGATGTTCTTCCACTGGCGATAGAAGATGGTGGTAGGCTTGGAGTATCCAAACTAAACTGAGAATTCCTATGTTTAGCACAAATCTTTGTGGAGTAATCTCTCCTAAAAACAAAACATTTCAATCTACGACTGTTTGTGGGACATTGCTGTGCGCAATTGGCTGCCGCGTTCGCCCAGAAATATACAGTCAATTCACTTTACAGTATGTTCTGTGAAGCACTTTGGGACGTCCTTCCGACGTGAAAAGCGCTATATCAAATGCAAGGATTATTATTATTATTATTATTACTGTAGCTCAGTGGTTAGAGCACTCGCCTTGCAAGTGAGAGACCTGGGTTCGATTCCTGGTAGGACGAAACGCTGGGCAAGTTTCCTTAATCCCACACACCACTGTTTACCTAGAGGCAAGTAGGAACCCAGTTGGTTGTCAGATCACTTTTCTGGGAGTAAAAATTCCATCAATAAAAGAAATAATAATTTGGTCACTTCAATCCACAACTGTTTGTGGAACACTGCTGTGCCCAATTGGCTGCCGCGTTTTGCCCTCATAATATACAGTCAATTCACTT